CAACTCTACAGCTCTGCTAGCCTTGGCGCTAACTTCCGGGGAACGATTGAGAGGCTCCACGATCCGACATTGCTGTAAAAAAGTGGTCCATTGGAGTGAACGGAGATGACGTAACTCTCAGTCTTTATGGCGCTGGATCAAGCCATTTGTTTAGTACAGGGGTGGGGAACCTCCGGCCTCCGGGCCGTATACGGCCCCCGAGACAATTTTGTACGGCCCTCGAGGTAATTTATAAACACACGCAAAAAAGAGAAAAATGTAAGAAATCTAGACCGCAACAAAATTAAACAAGCGAGTGCCTGTTTTTCCTGGCCAAGGTCATGTTGTTGCTGAACACAACACGAGCCTAACGTGTCATCACGTGGTATATGTCTCGACTGACAGGGGTGCAGTTCTGACGGAGAGCACCAGAACGCCACTCCAGCACTTCAGAAATTGCAGTACCGATAAGGAGCAAGCCCCCAGGAAGTGCGCCGGAGTCTGATGAGAATATTCGTGCTGGTCAAACGGCGGTACTACACTTCCTTTAGGTTGCTGGGCCCGGAAACACCTTTTCCCATTGACTTACATTGGGAAAGAGTGGTCTGTAACTCGTTGGATAATTTGTTTTAAACTAAATAAACTACCCAATATGAACGTTTGTATAGCCCTTATTAAAAACATTCGTTCCTCAAGTTGTAAAAATGTGCTAATAACGTTATTCTGAGAGTTATTTCCCTCGGCATTATGAACGCGCATCTAACCCACGGGACCGCGCCGCCCGGCACGTTCATGTTACGTGTTCAGCACTACATGAGTTTCTCTTTACCCATGGATGCACAATAACAACGGACCATATCGCCTTACTGCCATCCCACGGAGCTGTAATAATGGATATATTGCACATGTTTGCTGGAATTCATCATTTGTAAAATATTATACTACATGGGCTGTATGATGTAAATCTTGTACCGTAAATGTTGTATGAAATAAAGTTAATATTACCGACGTAGATTAACGTTCCTGTAGCTTCTTATTGCACTTGCAATTGTTTTAGTTACTTGTGGGCTACTTAACATGAATAATCACAGTTACTATCCTTTTACTCCATCACATTTAAAAAAGAAATAAGCTATTGTTATTTTAACTCCACCAATTGACCATAACAGGCTTCAACATATACATTTTTATATATTACCAAGTGGTTTCATGTACAACCCACACAAGTATCATGCTAAATGAAGCTCTGTTGCTTGGATATCACTAGATCCTGATGTCAGCGTAATATAAAAGTACATAACGATTGATGTGTAACTTAGCATAATTTACTAGCTAGCCGCTAGCTGCTAACTGCCGCCTCGTTAATATAAATCCAGTACCATGCTGTCATGAACGCGCGGTGCTGTTACGTGTACGTAAATTCACGTGCTTAATGTGAACGAGCCTTTTGGGCGGCGTGGTTAAAGTTGCGCATGCTCTATGAGTGCACATACGGGTACTTCTCAGGCATGCCGGGTAATCTGTGACGTTTCACTCTCTCAAAAGTTGGGCCATTTTGTCATCATGCGCCATTGAGCAACTCTCATAGGAATGAATGAGGCCCCGCCTCCCACGCTGTATCCAGTTCTTATGATACATCCATCATAAGGAGCCGTACACATGCCGCAGTTTCTGCGTGTCTGTGTCTTTACTAGTTGAAAGCCCAGTGGCGATCTGCTCATCTGTCATCTGATCAATGTCAATAACTTTGTTGTTATTAGCATCTGGTTAGCTAGCTATGCTAACGAATATAAGAAGCTTTTTCTACAACCAGTGAGGTAAAGGCACATCTTTATATGATCATTATAGTTATAAAAAAAATAAGAGAATAAAGTAAACAGGTATAAAATACTATACGACAGTAAAACAAAGTTATTATTAATAAAGAAGAATACAGTTTGAAAGGGGAGTGATTTGTCAAATATTCATAAAGAAAAATAAATCTGCTTCCAGTTCTGTTTCATATGGATGTTTAGAGATGTATCCATAGATCTCCTAATTGTGATCTCAAAGTGCACCAGATTGATGCTTTTAACTTCAACATTTAAAAAAAAATCTTCCCGGGGGAGCATGCCCCCCGGACCCCCCTAGAGGAGGTTAGGTCCCCCCCCCACTTAAATCATGTTCACATGGATAGGAAACAAAATACATTTGCACACATCTTGTGTCTATATCTTTCTGTGTTGGTGGTCACGCCACACCGTGCACGTGCCTGAATACGCGAGTCATGGTGAGATATCTGGATTAAGAGGTTGCTTTTTCTTTGCACAGAATGAAGTGAATGGGCTGTGATTTTAGTTTTTTTAAGCAGAGGTCAATAATTTGTACGGCCCTCTGAGGATATTGTAAAAATTGAAATGGCCCTTGAGAGGAAAAAGGTTCCCCACCCCTGGGTACATTGTAACAAGTAATTTGATTGGCCCATTGACAATATATTACACAATCCAATGGGCTTATCAAATGAAATTCAAATCGGGTGATAACAGATCGTGAAGAAGTGACTCAGAAAACAGATTTTTCCAAATTCTTTAAAGGTTTTTCAAAAATAAGTAATGGTTTCTGCTGTTGATTTCACTTATAGTATTCTGTTTACCCGTATACACTTTTTTAAATAAGGCAGCTATTTTAGAAAGTGTGTAGGCTTGATTGGCGTGTGTTGGTAAATCCCACAGATGTGGTTAAATCCCCCTTACTCACCCATAACAACACGGCTCACAAATGAAAATCCATAATGCGTTGTGGTTTTTTTCATACACCTAATTGTGGGAAATGCAATATTGTTTACTTATACCGTAGTATACAGTGCCCAGCCATAGTGGGAAGACAAATTGGCAAGTGAAAAAGGACTTCATAAATGTTGATATCTCAATGGGCTAAGGAACATTACTATGCAACCGCTTTGTTTTGCTTTCAAATGCACAATTTTACCATGCTGGCTATTCTCTTTCCATATTTTGTCACTGTCTTGTCGAACATGCTAATGAAATTGAAATGACAAAACATAGGCATGTCAGAAAGTAGTGGTAAAAAAAATGCTAAAGTGATCTTTTAAAAGGTGACCCTGAGATACATTAGTGGCCTTTAAGTGGATATGAGACTGCAGCCTGAGTGGCTGACACACATAGGCTTGGAGTACTTGTGTCTGAGCATCAATAATATACATTTGTATCACCATTTGGCCTGTCACAAGGCTTTTACTGAAGCTAAAAATCATAAACACATTTACTCTTTAATCAATATCATAAAAAATATGGTGCAGCAATGAGTGTTCCTTTTCTCCTGAGACATGGGTGCCAAACACGTTAATACAGCTTGAACATAATTTATGGGTTGAGAGGCGCCACTACAGCACTTGAACAGTGCTCAATTGATTGAAAAGGCTGGAGGAAAATAACATTTTCTGCAATGCTTATAATGAGATGCCCTGCACAGCGACTGATAATGTGTGTATTGTTGTAGACGAAGAGGATCAAAAACAGTGATGTGACTTCTTCTCCATCCTGGCAACATACAGTTTACCATTTCAATGTCTATGACAAACATGAGTTAGAGTATTTTGAAGCAGTTCAAACAGAAATGCAAACAGGGTGCAAACATATGAAGAAAAACATTCTACAATCACTACAAATAGAAGTGGCTAATTTTCGTGCCAGAAATAGAAGTTGATACCAATATGGTTTTGGAGGAAGATGATTATTTTGCTTGTGAATTTGCTTTGCTTAATTAGCATATTGTAATTGAAAGTGTTTTTACTGTTTGTTCGATCATACATCAGGTCCCATCTTCTGGGGTTCAAAGTAGACTGGGGTATAGTCTACATAGTTTATCCTTTTTACTGTTATTGCATTTATTGAAATACATTCTGTGTATCCTTGTGGCTGACAATCCAAGATATACATTTGTTTTATTAAACTATAATACATCCACTCAAGTATTGTACCATTTCTGACCACTATCAATAATGGGCTGACCTTCAACTAAAACACACAAAGCATGTAAAAAAAGGGGCCAGCTGTGGCTCAATCTCCTACAGAGGTTACGGTACCTGGACGTAGCCGCCATTACTCTGCAGCTTTTACATGTGCAAATTAGAGAGCAACCTTGCCTATTCGTTATGGCTCAGTATGGGGGAGTGGGGGGGTCTCTCAGAGACTAAAAAGGCCAAGTTGCAGAGGGTCATTGCCTGGAGCATAGCTTTGTGGGGAGCCGTGCTCAGCCCTCCCTGCAGCATCTCTATGAGCAGAGGATGGTGGGAAACTCAAGATAAATCACTATGGACTCAGCTCATAACCTCAGCACCAGACCCTGCCCTCTGGCTGTATGATATGCTGCCCCTTTATCAAAACGGGCAGGGGCAGCTTCAACCTTTCTGCTATTGGCTACTTAACAATGACACATTGTGCTAACATGACCCATGCAGGCACACACATAGGACTTACCTATACATTTAAATCTGATATTTGCAAACAATCAAGATATTGAGATAAATATAATATACATTAGGGACTTTGTTAGAATTAATCTCTGTATTTCTTTTAGACCCCAATCATGTCAGGTCAATTTGACAGGAACAATATAAAAATGTGAACATAACCCAAGGGTTAAACTACACATGTGATTTAGCTATACTTCAATATGTTAACAGTCAATCTCACTGATGCAACTGTAAACATAATATTATCTTAAATTGGGCATTTTCTACATTACAAGTGTATTTTCCTTGACACATGCTGCTGATAAACCATCTGTACTTTTGGTTAAGTAGGATTATTCTTTGTCTTGTTTGGCTGCACATCGCATATTGGTTAACTTTGCTAGCTGATGTGTAGTACATACATACATAAATGCATAATATCATGAATATTGGAATGCACACAGTTGGTCAAGCTCTGCAAGGGCTGAATAATTTAGGAGAGGTTTAACATGGCTTAAACACAATCATTTGTTACAGTTGATTCCTCAGACAAAAACAGCAATTAAAGAACAACTAAAATATCACTTTTATTTGTTCAAGGAGGAGGATTTTTAAATGTGAGCTTGTCATGTTAATGTTACAGGTTGGTGTTATTTCTTTCACAAAAGGTTTTACAAGAATTCCTCATTAACCAGAACATGGAGAATCTGGGCAGTGTGAGCACAGCGAAAAATAATATTATTTTGCTATTTCTTTTTTTTCTATTCAAATAAGCCTGCAGCATATTTCACAGCAGTGTTTTGAGGGAGTGCAGTGGTGGGAGCAATGGATGGTGTCAGCAGAGGAAGCTTGTTAGCAGAACAACACCTCTGGCTTTCATGAGAAAACCGTATACAGACTGGGGGGCATGTGTTCAGATCTACAGGCATTGTGAGGTCCTGCAACAAATGCACTCGCCTGATGAGCCCACCATGTCCATGGAAACAGCAAGAGCCTGTTACACAACAGTGCTATTTTTACTGAAGTGATTAACCAGATCACAAAAAAATGTGTGTGTGTATGACATATGACATACTGTACTTTATTAGCTTGAAACTAAAATGTGGATTCATAAACTAAGATTGCATTTGTTTCTTAAACAAAACAGCAGGGCTTGTTTCTGTTTGCATTGCATTTAAAATAAGAGCATGACAAAATAAATCGTTTTTCAAAATGGAAAGTTGGTTTACATTTTATTTATTCAGATTGTTTAAAGCTTGAAAACTTTTTTCAGGAGAGCAGTAAGTCTGGACTGCGACCCGGATTCAATATGCACAAGATGGAAGGATGGATTTTATATTAATAAATAATTTAGGCTCACAATCTACATCCCTTCAGTTTTTATAGATTAAAGAAAGGCATTTAATCACCATCATAGATCAATTGAGATGCACAATACTATATATTATGGCCTGACATGCACCAGGACCATGATTGCAGTGCAGCCAAACTTGAATAGGAAATCATTTGAACCTGAAGACCTTTATTTGCCCGCTGCTCATTCAAGAGTTGTCCCATAGTGCTTTTCAGCGTACCTCCGGGTGCTTCTGGATCACAGGCATTCAATCTCCTTCACTCCTGGATCTGTCATTACCATCACATCTGAAGCAGGCTGGCGTGAAAGGCAAATGATTACAATAGACTCTCCTGATTGAACTTCACTGACCTTTCTTCAACAAATGTCTCTTTAAAAAGCGCCAGTGAATGTCAAATTATTCCCATTCTTCTGTCGGGAGGGCAGAAGGATCCAGTCCACACTGCTTCATCTGGACGGCGATGTCGAACAGGTAGTCGTAGCATTCACACCTGCAAAATGCAGCAGTATTGTTAGAGTTGGAAGATAAAAATACAGTGTAAAGAATTTGAATCAGTTTTTTCTTTGTTACACTTGCCCTCGAAACAAATACTATATATTCTAAGTCATAAACCAGGCCAAAGAAGTTAATCGTGCTGGGAGGGAAATGCTCACATGGTCTTGGCTTTTTCCCACGACTCGCCCCAGACATAAACGCCGTGTCGACGGACGAGGACAGCACATGAGTCGGGGTATTCCTCCATTGCCCTGGCCATCCGGTCCTTTAAGTCTTTTTCCTCCGGTGTATTTTCAACAATAGGCACGACCAGAATGTCATCATATCTGTGTATATGCAGGGTACAAAATGGCAAATTACACCCAGGCTGATAACTTTCTCAGGCCATCATTTTACATCACAGTACTGTCAGATAGAGGCTGCCTGTTCTCATAGACTGACACCGCTGTCTGTCGTACAGCCACTCTTATTTGGGGGCAATCAAATCAAAGTGATACAATAAATCCCGCTCTGTACTGAAACTGGTTTATCAATCAATCAATTGTATTAGTCACATTAATCGTTCGAGGTACAACTCCAATAAAAAGCAATCCTGTCAGCTCCTTTAATGTGTGTATCATATGCCACACCTCCTCCTTTTTCTTGCCAGAGTCGTTTGCTCTGTCTGATCAGGACACAGAAAAAGAGTCATCTAGCCAAGTTTTCCAAAAAACAAAGTTTCTGTTCCGTTGGAGATCGCTTTGGCCGTGGTGGCTGTACAGCAAATAACCCAACTGGCAGCTGGTGTCAAATCCCTCGGTGCCACCTTCAATGGTCTTGCTTGTTGAATTAGTTGGAATCAGGACTGCTTTTAATCTTTAAATAAATGAATTGATTTTCTGTTTTTCTTTTTAATTGATGTCCTGGAAATGTTTGATTATTCGCCACCTTTGATTACTCTGATGTTTACATTTGGACCCTTTTCACGGTATAATTATTAGCCCGTGATGGACAGTAAAGGCACAGGTGTAACATTAATTTGTCTTTGGCTCTTTTTCTGCTGTAACAACATACATTTCCCATTTGTGGGACTAATAAAGGTATTCTGATAGATATTAAAGGTGGGGTAGGTAATTTTGAAGAAACCGGCTCGAGTGCGCTAGAATTTGAAAATACACAGCCGGAAAAAATCTGCCACTTCCTCACAGAGCCCCTCCTCCAACACACACAAACGCGCACATGACCAATGAGGGCACGAGATAAGTTTGTGCACAGATGGAAGGCTGACAGGCAGGTAGGCAATCCAGTTACTTTAGCCGGGCCGGCTAAAATGATTGGTCGTGCTTTTTAGAGTGCTACTGCTTCCACAGGTGACATTTTTTTATGGATTTTTTGTCAAAGCACTTCAGATATTCATTGCTATCGGGATGTTAAGAGCATTCCATGGATTATAACAAAAAGCGTATCTCGAGCCGGTTTCTCAAACTTACCTACCCCACCTTTAAATAAATAAACATTGGATCCATTCCATGAACTGTCAGTGAGTGACAATGGCTCACTCAAATGGAATGCAAACACCATTAATAGGTCAATGCCATCTCTGCTTTGGTGAGTCAAACATTTCTTCCGTTGAAAACCGCTGCCAATCACGTAGCAGAGATGCAAGAATTGTAGTCATGTGTCACCATTGTGTAGTTTCAACCACAAACAGGTTTTTTTAAATAGACGAAAGGTATCATCAAACGCAAAAGGAAAGTCATCAAACGCCATCTTCTTTGTTGCAGTGTGCTCGGGCTGCAGGATGGGGGCTGTCAACTTATCAACGAGATCATCAGGAAGTTTGGCTCTTTCCTGAGAAGGAAGCTTCATTATTTGGAAGTGGTGTCAGAGAGGAGGAGTCTCCAGAAGCTCAGAAGTATTCAAAAGTACCTCTTTACATTTTCTCCGTGGATGACATCTCATCAAAGTTTCTGACAACATGGTACTTAACGTGCAATAGCATTGACCACAGTTATTGAACATATTGAATTACCATCTACATTTACCAATTCTAAGATGCAGTCTGTATATACGTAGCTTTATATATGCTTGCATTAACCTTACTGACATTGTGCATCCTACCAATATTTCATGTATTTGTACACTCCTTACCGTTGACTGTTTTGACAAGTTTGCAGCTATGATTTCTACTGCCAAGATACCTTCACAAGGAAGACTTAACAAACACACTTGACTGAGAAATGAGGATGCTTCGAAACTTTTTGGACTACTAATCCTTCTGCTTGATTACATACCTATAGTTGGTGCCTGAGGTGCCCTTACGAATCCCCTTGATCATCTCCTGGTGTGTTATCCTGAACTCTTTGCCGGGATACAGCAGTGTTGCCATGACAGCAGCCTTGGAGTGGGTGTGTATTACTGCCTGTGCCCCTGTATTTTAGTAAAGGAAAAGCAGATTTTTTAATTCTGAGTGTTGCCTACTGGTAAGGTCTTTCTAAAATATCAATTTGTACACAGAAAGACCACCCACAGAGATGATCACACATCCATGTGCACTACGCTTTGAGATTGCTTTTTGGGTTTTAATTGTTTTTCTAGTTTTGGAGGTTTATTATCGGCTAAGGAGGATAACTGCACTTTGACCTGGTGTTCCAGTTTAGAGGGGGAGAGGTTTTTCATTAAAATGTTGGCCTGTAACAATGCCTTTATTAAACAACTGTATTATATGAGTAGAACCTTGTCTGCTTTTAAAATATTATTTCCTGGCATTGTATCCAAACCAATATTTCTACATATCAGATTATATACTTTACCATTACATGCTTTGATCCTTAGTTAAGAAAAAAGAAGATCAGAAGGGAAATGTCTGTCTATTATGGATTTTAAAATGTTTGTTTTCATAGCTGTTAGTTACAGGGTTTGTTATGACAAAATACTGTACAACATCCAGTTATTATTCAATTAAGCGTAATGAGTATATCATTAACTCCATTAAAAACAAAAGTTGTTATTCAGGTTACTAATTAATTATATCACAGTCTGTTACAGTGGTATGTATGGTATGAATGTATTATTGACTCACCTCTCATTATGTAAGCATTCATAAAAAGCGGTGTGCACTGGCTCTTCCTTAAATTCTTCCAGGCAGGTGGACAGCTGATGTCCCTCTCTTCCATGTCACACACAAACATGTCTTCTGGCTGAGTGACAGAAAGAAAAAAGTATTTTACACAAACATAAGTATCTGAATCAATCTTATTATTTATATTTGTACTTAGCAAGACATTATTTCACACTGAGGTTATACCTGTATTCTCTCTTTCTGGACGCCTGATGGTGCAACGTAGATCTGCTCTCTGTGGGTTATACAACAAACATTACGGTTTATATCAACAGCAAGCTGAAGGCCAGGAGAATAAAGTAGATATTGAAATTGCTTTAGTTTGTCAAAACACAATGGACCATCATGGCCTTGTGCTGCACACAAATAACTGAACTGTTTGTGTTTAGGAGAATGTTATGGTGACAAGGGTCAGCTCCAATGTCAATCATGTTTCAGTGACTATCTGATGAGTCATCCCTTATTACAAAATGAGTCATTGTCAGAGAATGTGTCGCGATACAGATTGGATCAATCTACTGAGCATCAGCTCAAAATGTTTCATGATTCTATTTTTGCAAAGATATTGACAGCCTATGTTTCCCCGTAGAAAGAAGAAGAGAAGCTATGTACTTTTCTTTAGTGAGCAACAAACAGCAGAAAAAGGAGAAGCGTATTGATTTTCTTTGAGAGGCCGCCTGAGGCTCTGAATCATTTCAGAGCCTAACAGGAACACAAAAAGACCTTTCAAAACTTAGAATTTAGACATGCACTGAGAAAATAAAAATACTCTCATTAGAATATTTGTTTAAAATCTTGAAAAGGCTTAATAAGAAGTCAAATGTGACGGAAAGTTCTCTCGTGAATCCTTTTAGAGTTACAATATGTTCCGGTCAAAGTGAAATACCAGGGCAGATGAGCAGCAGTCGCTAAATCTAATTTGTTTTCATATGGAGTTTGTCAAATTCCACATGTCAAACAACTATGAGCTGATGGGTTGCGCTTTATGTGGAGCTGCCATCCAAAACAACACAGTTCAAAGATGTTTGTAATAACCGGTCAAAGCCTTCAGTTTGAATTCTGTTCCATTGTGGCAAAACCGTGTACTTTACACTGAAATTGTACACATTGTCAAAACAGATGCAACAGACCTTACATCAGCCGCGCTGCACCTTTGTGAACATTTAAATGTACAAAAAACATCTACTAAAACAGATTCAGTTTTTGGCATGATTGTCAAAATATGCAAGCAGGTTAAATGAAGGTGTGTGATCTTCTGATCCTACACAATGTTCTGCAAGAAATTGAACCAGAAACCAACCCTCGTCTCAGGCTGATGCCGCCGCCCGTCCCCGTCACCCATCCCAGCTGGTAGAAGAGTCGGCACAACTCCGGGATGAGAAGACGAGGATGCTCCTTCTCCTGGAACAGACACAACGCTGTCAACTAGGTATATCCTGCTCGAGTTGAACAACTTTAACATGATCAGAGTGAATACAAGTCAATAAACTTCAAATGCACATGGTTGAATGTAAAAGCAGAGTGTTTCTGATACTGATGTTAGCGCTCTATCAGTACGGTCATAGATTAAATATTTTTCATTTGTGATTAAAAAAATACGAAAACAAACAATACAGTCAATCGATCCAACTAGAAAGCATTGCCTTTACAGCCAGTCAGATCATTTGTCTGTGCCATAGAGCTCTATTGTCCGACAAATATAAAAACATCAATAGCCCCACCATTGAAGTCGGTGGCATGCTCGTTAAATACCACGAGCACACACAGTAGAAGTTTTCACTCACCCCACATGCTTGAACACACTATTGTCCCTTCAGATGTGCAGGACAGTTTACACAGCCCTAAACTGAAAGCCGCGGGCCAAAATGACACTTAGTTTGAAAATGCTCTAACAGTCTCACATTATTAAACTAGATCGTGATGTGCCAACAAAGGCAAAGAAGCGCATCACAGCATGAACTGATTCTTCTCTCCTGGATGACCTGACATAGATAACAAAACCCGCTGCACTCTGCACTTAATGAGACTCCCTGCTGAAAGAAGAAAGAACAAAATAAAGTGTTCTTCTTTCATTTAGCTGTATTCATGTGTGCAGGTCTAGATTAGACACATTGGGCATCCATTATGGCACAGCTTACATGATGTGCCAAAAGGATGTAGAAGGAGTGATTGCTGATTTGGGAGTTGCCATGGAGTTTCACACAGGTAGGTTAAAGACGCTACATCATCTTACATTATGCAAGACAATAGTATCTGGAGTGAACAGATTGTATTCCTTTTGCCCACAGATAATCCTACAGAGAGTTAGGTTTTCCTAAAAGGTTTGTTAATTGTTTAGAAAAATTGTATGAAAAATATGTGAAAAAGGGTAAACACATTAGCATGAGTACTTCAGCTGTGCTCAGAAAGTGATAATGAATTATTTATTTACAGTCTCAGTAAATAAGCATGTTTTAGCAATCAAGAAAAACGGTAATTCACAGCTTAAAATGGTCCCTAACTAACACCACTTACTAACAGGCTTGAAACTATGTGCCTTAAACAAGGAATGGAAGACAGACAAATATTGAGGGACAGACTAACGCATTGCTGGTTTCTGCTGGGACATAAAACAAATATATAAACACAAGCAGCGATCATTTAAATGTGTTAATGCACTGTGTTTTTGGGACTGTCTCCTCAGATGCTTGTGAATTCCTACAGCTGCACCAACTGAGAGTGTGTTCCGCGGCTGCATCAGGCTAAAGGATGGCATCTGCTCTGTCTGGGAGGCGCTACAGGACTCCCCTTCCCCTCAGCTGCCACCTTGCTGAACTCTGAATCAATCAAGGTAATAGTAACCCCCCCCCTCCCTCCCTCCCTCCCTCCCTAGCCCCAGATAACGCCCCCCACAGCTCCTGCCAGTGCCTGCACATTGGCACTATGACTGGCTCTGGCTGCTACAGCATGCTTTTTACTGCTGCACTACTAACACCTGCCTGTTTTCTATATGCATACTTATATAGCTATATCTACATTGTACTATATATTGTGTCATGTCATACTTTTGATATTATGCTTTTGTCCAGCTCTTTTGTATACAAGTATGTTTTGCCTACCTACTTCTTAGCATATAACTCAGTTTTTACTGCCCATACTATTAATACTGGATAGATTGTAGCGTATTAATAGCCATTACCTAAATAACTATTCTACATTTTATACCTATTTATTTTTGTACCGTTTACACAGTTTATTGCTTTGCCTTTATTCTCAGTTATTTGCATTTCTGAATAGATGCTAAACTGTCTTTCGTTGTCTCAGAATGTGTAGATAACGTACGTGATGACTGCTACTGGGAACTGAGTTAAAATGTCTAACTGTGGCAGACTTATATCATTTAAGTGAATTTGTGTTGCATAACATCGTGTGATGTGTTGATAATAATAATAATAATAATTCCTTACATTTATTATAGCGCTTTATCAATGACTCAAAGCGCTTTACATATACACACATTACACATATATGATACATGCAATGGTCAGATACTGTGGACAATACCCACAGGAGCAAGTTCAGGTGAAGTGTCTTGCCCAAGGACACACCGGCTTTACAGACGCAGCAGCGGCGGGTTTCACCCCTTGATCTGATGATCATTGCACAGCGCACTGCGCCACACCGTCCATCTTCACGCCTCGAAGACCTCGAGGCGCTTTTACAGGTACACATTAGTATTATACATGTACTGTGGACAATACCCACAGGAGCAAATCCGGGTGAAGTGTCTTGCCCAAGGACACAACGGCTTGACGCAGTGGCGGCAGGAGCGGGTTTCGAACTGGAGTTCCCCAGCACTCCCCCTTGATCTGATGATCGGATGCACAGACCACTGCGCCACCCGTTCACATTGATGTGTTGTGCTTACCTGTTTCTCAGCTGGCTGTTGACCTGCATCTTGGCAACTGTTGCTGGTGCCACACAAAGACGACATCTCCTGTGAGAAAACATTGACAACATGATTATTCATGGGGGAAATCAGATGCAGATGAGATAATATAGGCAAGAACAAAAGAGAAATGATTTACGGATCCCACTAAATTCTTCTCATTCCTTTACCTCCTACACGTCAGTTGAGGACAAGCCACAGATTATTTTGATGGGAGGAAGGATAGGCAGGCTCAAAAACCTCAGATGCCACTATTGATTTGAATTTCTATTAAAATGCAAGAGTACTCAAAGGAAAAACCTTTAAGCTATGGCTTTTTTCCAATAAGATCAAATCAAATGAGGACTTGACTGTGGATTTAATTGCAACATTTACAAAGAAAAGGCTAATGATGTATGGTGTGATTAGGGTGACAAATAAAGCAGACAGGATTAAAAATGCCTTAATACAAACAAAAATAAACAAAGGAAGTGAATATGTTTTTCTGTAGTATTCAGTTTTTCAGTAAGCATTAACTCAGTTATGATTAAATTAATAAAAACAATTATTTAGTTATGAGTCTTTCATTTTGTGTTTTGTTTTTCGTTGTGAAATTAAACTTTTAAATTAAAAACGTATATTGCCTTTTAGCATTTCGCCCTGCCGACACTAAATGCAAAGAACTCTTATCAGTTTTCATAAGGACATGTAAGGTAGTTATTCCTTTTATTTTTAGACACATTGTTGATACCAAAATGAAAAAACTCAACTCGTTGATGCTTCTGTCCAAGGGTAAAAAAGGGTTACTTTTCTTTTTCTTACAATGCTTCTGCAATATAGTATAGTTGTATAAAGTTGGCGGTGTGCGAGTCGGGTATAGTGTTACTTAACACAGTTTCTCTTTTCGGGTGTGGCAGATTTGATTTGATTTTTGGTTGTTTAACGAACCGATTGAGCTGTAGACTGCCGTACAAAGAAACACCTTAAGGGATCCTCGCGGCTCAGTAACTGCTGACAGCTAATTAATGACAGTTAGAATCTGTTGGCCCATAGTAAACACTGACTTGTTTGATGTTGAAGGGAAAGCTATTGTAATTGTTATTAGATGTCTGAAAGCTAGTAATAATAAAAATCATGAGCTTTATATTAAGGCTGTGCAATTAATCGTATTGTAATCACAATTACGATTTTGGCCTGCCACAATTACGAAAACAACATAATCGAAAAAAACTATTATTTTGCTTTGCTAGGTTGTGCCATATTTGATCTAATTTATTTTAGTCTAATTTATTTGTATTTATCATAGAAGATTTTGAGTATGTTAAGCATTTGGATTGTCACTGTTGGGTTGGGACATTTTCTTTTTACTATTTTTTACTTTTTACACCCTACGGACCGAACTAACAGTTGAGAAAATAACAAGCTGATTGCTTGAGATACAATACTTGTTATTTGACAGACAACTCAATTATGCAGCAAAGTTTGCATTTGGTTAAATTATATACAAATATTTGTACAGACTACATTTAGGGAGCACAGCTTTCAACAGTTTGTACTTCTTGTTAATGACAATCATGTGGAAGATGTTTTGTATAATGAAATCCTTTTTCTGCTACAAATTCAACTATAAGTTCACACACCAACTTAGATGAGCAATACTGAGTCATGAGCAGAGCATTCACATTAAAGACTACTATTTTTGTCTCGTTTTCACAAGGTTGTATTGGTGCCGAGTCAGAATAAAAACCCTGCAATTTATATCAGTTTTTAGCTGATTAGATCCAATTTACTAAATGCACTTCAACAAACAGCAAACTTGATACAATTGATCATTTTAAGAGTTTTTATTTTGGTGTTTGTTTATCTTGTCCTTTTACTGACACATTATCTATTTTCTTGTGAAAAAAAATGTACTAGGCATCCACAATAACTACATAATCCCAACAGACTGAATTAGTGAATTGGAACTACAACACAATGGGTAATTTCATTTTAAATCAGGCTTAATGTGCTTATTTTTCTAATTGTGGGTTTAAGAAGAAACTCGCATATCAGATCATATAATCCATTAAATTCCACAAACAGAATAGGTTAATTCCTTTGTAGGTATTATTAAAAAATAATAGGTCACATAGGGCAAACATGCAGGCGTTGACAACCAGTGAACATGCTTACTTGTAACGTTAGTTACACTGGCAGTGTTTCATAAAATCAATTTACACAATTCAATGATGACATATAGCATATTTACCTGAAGGGAAAGACAAAGCCAGTTTGATGTTTAGATAACTTAGTAACGTTACTCGTGTTACCAAACGTTACTCACTAAGCTTGAGAAGTATTTTGCCTACTCAAATAATGTTAAATATGGCTTACCAAAAGACTGTACAGCACTCCTTAACGTCTCGTTTTTGTAGCATCAATAGGTTCAATTGTTACCGCATTTAAAACAATACAGGGTAAATTAATCTGTGTGCGTTGTTGCTTCATTCTAACAGCTGACCAGGCTCCAGCTACACTAACTTTAATACAGGTTCGTTTAGCTTGCAAACTCATTGTGTTGCGGCACAACTACCATAGTTTGACCTCTAGTCGAAAGAGCAGTTATATGTGCATACAAAACATGACTTCTTACCTTTCTTATCTTGTGAAGACAGTCTGTGGATACAATATGTGATGCCAAAGCAGCTAACGTAGCACACAGCTAGCACCGCGTCATCAATGTGCGACATACACTGACTCGCCACATTTTTCTGTTGTCTCAAACGTTTTGCATCAGCATATTAGGCTAATATTAATGGCAACAAAATAAAGGCAATTTCAATTATTAAATGAATCACGCAGGACTGTCCATGTTAGTTATACTATAGTTATTGTATTATTTGGTAAGCAGCAGACAACTTAAATGTTGTGGTTGAGTTCAGTGGTGAAAGTAACTGTACATGTAGGGGAGAGTGGGGTAAATTGAGCCATTTTTTAGTTATGCTGTCCTCTAAGCAAGGAGAAATGACACATAGTAAAAATGAAATATCACACCTATAATTCAGGATGTCTCCTATCAATGGCAATGATAATAATTAATATTTGATCTAGGGCAGTGAAAATATTACTTCTTTAAAAAAAAAATCCTGTGGCTCAACTTGCCCCGGGTTAGGGGTAAATTGATCCAGGTCAGGGGGTAAATTGAACCACTGTTCAAACCTGGGCAATCAATAAATAACAAACCAAATACAAGCTTAGTTTTTCAAATATTTTTAATATAAATTTCGATTGAATTGGTTGATTTCTTTTTAACATTTTAAAAGGAAAAGTAATCATACAAATGGTGATACAATTTCATACATCTTACCAATCAAACACAGGGCAAATTCAACTTTAAATGTAGCCTACAATGAGCTCTTATTATCAACTTGGCCTACTTTCATTAATTTCTCCATTGAAAAACTGGCTCAACGTACCCCCTTCTCCCCTACTCAAGTAGGATACTGTACCTAAGTACAGTTTTGAGATACTTGGACTTGACTTAGTTACTTTGCAGCTTTAGGGTAATAATGTGAAACATAACCAACACCTAAATAAGACTTTAGTTACACCTGGAGTACATTCAAAAGCTATCCTGCAGTAGGCTACAAAGTCATTAACACTAGCTGCACCTTTACCAGCATTAAACACATTAGTGCATCAATAATTATAATCAAAACATATATTATTCTTAAATAGACCAATTTGCATTATAAATACTTTTACTTTTGGTACTTTAAGTATATGTTGATGGTAATACTTTTGTACTTTTACTTGAGTAAACTTTTGAATGCAGGACTTTTACTTGTAACAGAGTACAATCTGGTACTTCTACTTTAACTTAAGTACAAGATCTGAGTATTTTCCCACCTCTGTTTGAGTTGTACATTTTAATAACAAATCCAATAATAATGCATCCTATATTATTAACCTTTGTATGTAAACATTCAATCTGAAAAGTAACTAGAAGGCCAACAATACCTGATAAATCATAAAACTCTGGGAATTACTATGTTTTACACTTGAAGTAGGTGGGGTAGGCTATAGAGCCTATGTACACTGTCAGAAATAAAGGTACAGTACAGGTACATTTTTGTTCTTTAAGGTACAAAATATACAAATGTACCCTTAAAGGTACACTCATGCTCCTGTATGGTACTAATAAGTACCCTTTTCAAGTAAAAGGTACGCATTACATATGTATTGCGGAAAAGGTACATAAGTGTACCCTTCACATAGTGAATGCCTATAGCCTGCAGTGGCTCTGCTCACTTTATTAAGTTTGAATATTTGTTCAGGGTTGAAAGTAACCATGTAGATCACCAATAAGTGGACAGTTTATCAAAAATAACGGGCTGTTTTTTTCAGGTATTTGAACGACCTGCTGCAAATACCTTGTGGTTTTAAAAAATATATATATATATTTTTAAATTTTGTTTTACAAGTAGGCTATTTCACTAATTTCATGAATGATATGTGATAATAAACTTGGTTTAATTTAATTGTAATTATTATTGCTGTGCTTCGCTGAGAAATAGACGTTAATGTTACACAACACCTGATTGGTTAAGAGAGCTGAGAGCGGGAGATAATCTAACGGTCATATTTGGCCAGATTGAAAGACTACGTATTTTCTAAAGACCTCGGTGTTACATGTAACATGGCGAACAGTGGGACAATTTATGCCTTGACCTGTCTATCCACTAGTGATATTTTCACCAAGGTAGTAGAATATGGGATAGAAGTAACTGAACTGGAAGCTAGGAAATTCAGAGGTAAGTGAACTTTACCTTCATTCATGACTGGTCAAGTAGCTAACATTTAGCTAACTAAGGCTAATGCCTTTCATGAAAAGACCGGGGAGATGGTATCTAACGCTAGCTAGCTCCATAGTCCTTGGAGAACAACAAAAATACTGCCGGTTAAATGTTTTTGAATGTATTGGTCATAACGCAACCGTGTGTGAAGCTAACTAACGTTACCTAGCTAACTGAATATAGTTAGCCTAGCTAGCAGAGCGCCGACGCTAGCCATTACGTTATTTCAAAGACAATGTACATACAGTGAGCGCGCGATGGAGGCGTTGTGACAGTTGTCTGTCTACTTTGCTGGATGGGTGATTAGCATGGTGGCTTTCACTAAAGCTCACAGACACGGAGCTATTGACCAACATGAATCTGTTCATTGTGGAAAAGGCACTCATATTTATGTTTCTTCTGCTTAAATAAAGGAGAGATTCTTCATTTCCAAGACAACGTTAGTTAGCCGTAGCTCAAGCAGTGGCGTTTTCTCCCGGAGGCCAAGGGAAGCCAGGCTTCCCCTGTTTTTTCGGATTGTAGTTATAATTTAAATAAATAAATAAAAACACGTTTTGTTTCGATAATTCTCCTTTGCTGTGTGTTGCTGCCGGCCCGTCTCTCCCCCATTCTCATTGAGTATTTTACAAAGAGTGAAACAAACAGCGCCCCTCTAGATGTTATGGTAAAACAGTAGATTGCACTCACTGTTGCGAGAGGAGGCCAGCCGAATCTGGCTTCCTTTGGTGAAAAAAAATGGAGGGATTGACCAATCAGATGAGGCCCACGTGACGCCCCTGCCAACCTGTGATTGGTCAGGGCCATGCCAAGGGAAGCCAGCCGCCTCTTGCTTCCCTTCAGAGGCGGCTGGCGATTTGATTGGACACTGCCATCCAATCAAATCACATCAACATCAGTTTTAATACTGTAACTGTCTTCACCGCTGTTAGAAATTATCAAGCAAATGAAGCATTATGGAGGGTGGAGATTTGGCGTACTTAATCAAACATAACTTTACTAAACTTCCGCTACAGCAGCAACTAACAATTAAATCAGATGACAGGCCAATGGCCGCACTCGAGCTGTGTGTACACAGAGGAAAAAGGGAGAGAATCGGACGTTCAATGAGGACAATTATGTCCGCACGGAGTGGCTAACTGGAAGCGCTAAACTTCAGCGTCTATTTGGCTGGCCATGTCTTCTTTTTGACAAGGATTCGTGCTCCCTGAACAATCCTTGGGCAACTTCAGGATTCATCGACCTTGCCAACCTGTCACGGGCAATTGAGAGGCATGGTAAATCCAAAAATCACATAGATTGTGTGATTGTCTGCATACATTAATAAGTAAAATGCTTAAATTAATAAGGAGAGAGTTTCAGCTGGAGAGTGCGTGAGGACCTTTCGGTTAGATAACAGGCGTGTGCAAGTCCTGCATCTGTGTGATACTTATTGTAAGTCGCTTTGGATAAAAGCGTCAGCTAAATGCAATGTAATGTAATGTAATGATACAAATGTGTGTCAAATGATACCAGGCGCTGTAATCACTCATCTGGTTACGTTATTGACCACCCCCCGACCCAAAAAATGGGCTTCCCCTACATTTTTCCCCACGCCACGCTACTGAGCTCAAGATTAGCTACATCTGTGCTAGTGTAGTGATTGCTTGACATGAGCACATGCAGACATGTAACGTTATGCGGGAAGCAGCCGTATGCGAAGCTACCTATGAAATGCCCCTTCACACCAACGCAGCTCCCGTTCTAGCTCCGTGCTTGCTCTTCTGATTCGAAACCGGTTTTTCTTCCCCCCCTTTTTGTTCACACCGCCTAGAGCCCGACTGGTGCTGCTGCGTCATGACGTCACCGTTTACGTAGCTGATTTTCTCCCCATTGGTGCTCACAACAACAACAATGGGTGCCTGCGTCGGGTCGATGATCCTGTTACTTTTAATCATACGAAGCCAGATTAAATTAAATAACTACTTCTCCAACCTTGCACTTTTCTCCAGAGTGCCGTGGTTCATTGTTTATTAATGTAGTTCATTCTACTTGTGATGGTCGGACATGGCAACCTGTGCAGCCCATGTATTGATTCCATCCGATAGCTGCTATAATACAAAACAAAACGTCTGCCTGCCTGCTCTCCACAATGATCAATAACAGCGAACGGATGGTCAAAGTCAGTGGCGAGCCGTGACTTTTCTACCTAGGCCCTCTGACCCCACCCCCCTCTTCCCTCGAAAAAAAAAAAAGAAAACGTTTTTACGTCACAGCCTATAATATACTTCAGCGGAATATCAAAACAGCGGCCCGGGGTGCAAAACGCATCAATGACAGCGACCCTCTACCACACAAAACAACACCATTTATATACACACCTATCATGACAGGACACCCACAGCCAAGTAACAATTACAAATGAATTAAGTCGGCACGGCGGCCCACATTGAAAATCACTTTGACTTACCTTTGATGATCAAATCACCTAAACACAAAGTCCATCCTCCTGTCTTTTTGGATGAAGAACTTGATGGCGTCGTCATGCAGCTGATCCTTTGCTTTTAAAGCAATCAGCAATTCCTTCTCGATCGAAATTAAGGCCAAGTCTGACAGTCGGACTTGCCCAGTCGTGGACCTCGAGTAGCTTTTTATGCGCTTCAGCGCAGAGAAGGACCTCTCCACAGAGGCAGTGGACACAGGTATTGTCAGGATGATGCATGAGAGGGTGTACACCTGTTTCATGCTTT